AGACACAAACTAGGAGGAAAAAAACCTCTGGATGGCAACCAACTTCAGGACTATAAAGCTGCCGTGAAACCGTCCCTTTGAAAAACACTGAAACCTCTACAGTTCAATCCACCATAAACAAGCCTCAAATGTGTTTATGAAGCGATACATTTCACAGATGAACAGATGTTTATGACGTCGGAGAGGTAGGAAAACTGGGCAGAGCAGAGGCTGGAGAGGTATCATCCATTTTAACGTAGATCCAGGAAATAGATAGTGCTAACGTAAATACATGTAGTAACATGACAAACGAGGCTGATAAAAAGATAAAGGCCAATAAAGCTGCATGTCCTCACATTCAGGAGTTTATTGCAATTACAAATTAGGGCATTGTTCCCCAAGGAGAACAAGATGTTTGGAGTGGACGAGGAACAAAGCGTAACACAAGCGAGGAACAAGCGAGGGAGTATTAACTGGAAAAGAGTGACTCTGAATGCAAGTCGGAGGCAAGGCCCTTCCGTTGCGTCTAGTGCAACAACTCAAACTTGTTCTGAAATCAATCACTCGCTATTAATTCACCCAAATGAATGTAAACAACAATAAGAGAAGAACGCACCGCCACGAAATGTGCATCCTGCCCTTTGGAAGGGCTAAAAAATATTTATTTATTAGTTTTATTTATATATATATATATACGCACACACAAACTAGAATTACAAATAATATATATACAAACAGAATATGAAACAATATAAAAAATATATTAATACATGATATAAATTGGAAAATCCTAATAAATTATTATTAGGATTTATTATATAATTAATATTATAAATAATAATAATATTGAACTATAAATACATTTTTACGAAAAAAAAAAAACATTTACCCGTGGTAAAATGTAATGCACAGCCTAATTTGTTCCTTTAATAGAACATCACAGACAGTCATTGGTCTCATAATGAGCCGCAGTTTGTACCGTCTAGAGTTCCATTGACTGAGACTTCTTTCTTATATTGCAACACAATGAAATGTTTATCTTGGGAGTTCAGTGATTGTGCACTTTCTCTTCTAAACAAAAAAAGAAATAAATAATAAGGGCACAGAGGGACAAGAGGAAAGCCAAAAAACAACAACAAACAAAACACACACTTTTGGATTCAGTGAGGCGTACAGATACTCACGGCTTTGACAAAGACCCCCATAAGCTCTGGAAACTGGTGTGTGAGCATGGCCAACATGGCACAGAACGAGCACAGGCCCGCTGTGAAGAGGATGAAGAAAGGAAGCTCCTTCTTCGGGTACACTGAGACCTCGTGAAATGCTGGAAGAAGAAAAAAAGAGAGAGAAAAAAACAGGTCAATAAATACCTTATTTTCCTGTTATTTTTAATTTTCATACCACTTGACTTTGAACACTCTATGCTTATGCAAATGTCGTGGTCACATTTCCTGCTCAAAGAAATTTCGGGGCGGAATCCTGTCATTCCAATAGGAATCTGTGCAATCTGAGTTTTGCATGGGGTGAAATAGTTTTGCTCATGTTCAGGTTGGTCATGTGAATTTGCCACGCTGACCAACAGAAAGCTGCTGTGTTTGAAAGTGACTTCTGTGTGAGCAGTGCTTCATACATCTCTATACTATTGACAATGGACCTTTTTGGCACATGCAATTTTGCAGAAATTATTTAATTACTTGATGTGACCACACATTAACAGATAGTATTTGTACATAACGACAAATATATAGAGATATACAGTGTATACTTACAAGGCAGAAGCTCTCTGTCTGCGGTTTCTGTGCATCCTGGGTAAGGATAGAAGAGATGACCCTTTTCCAGGGGATATGGAATAATCCGGAAAGCTACAAGAGTCAAAAGGTGTTAAATGACATCAGGTGAGATTATTTACAGTAAACAGCTTACAACAAAGTGCATTTGTTGTTTTCAGATACTACCTATCTTTTTTTAAAGTACCTTGAAGTACCTTGTAATTTTCATGGTAAATGAGAATGGTAATCATCACATTCTATACATGAATGTGGTGGTATGTAAAAAAAGATGTGCACTGGACATACTGCCTTCCCATGTGCAGTGTAGCAGGTTGAGCGCCCCCTCTGCCCGTTTCCAGTGCTGCAGGTGAAAGAAAGCGTATGCCACTGCCTCACTGTCACCCCTCTTCAAAATATGCTCAGGTGGCAAAATCAGACTCTTCATCTCTAATAAATACTGCAACGACACAAAACACTTCCATTTACATTTTTTACTCAAAAGAAAAGCAAAAAGTTACTTTCATTACTGAAAATAAAAAAAGATATTTATTATATGAACAATTATTTTACACTATATAAATACATTATTTATAATATAAATTACTAAAATGGTATTTAAATAAATACATACATAAAAAATATCAAGTGAAAAATGCATTATGGTAATGAGAATTACAGAGGAAAATGTGCAATGTAAATAATGTTACAATGACAAAAAAGTCATTAAAAAAAATTATGCTTTATTTTCTTAATGCAAAATATAATGCATTATTTTCCCCTTGATATTGGGGTGAAATGTGATCCAGAAATTCACCCATACACTGTAAGGAAAAAATGTATTATAGAAAAATGGATAATGTTCTGGCGGAAAATTACCAGTACATTTTCCAAACATTTCCTTCGACCATAAAACACTACAAAATGCAATGATAATTCAAAATACATATAAACACCTGTGAAAAATCTATACGGAAAAATCCTTCATAATAACATATTGGGCCATATTTTTACAGACATTTCTTAGAGTGTACATATGAGAGCTTTATACTTACACTGAGCCTAAATACTTAAAGTCTCCCCCACTCCGGGCCCCGGGGTGAATGTTGTGGAGGGCAATACTGCAGGATTAAATGGTATTATCCAGAGGATAACCTTCCCAAATGCCCCTGGCTGTGATTATGGTTTATTACAGCTCAATTCAACTGATTCCCTCTACGATGTGTCATGCGCACCTTCTGAATTATGAAGAAATATCCATATTTTTCTGTAACAATCACCACGGTGGATATGTCAGAATGTACACAAACATACTGTATGTGTGCAGACATGGGTCATTTAGCTTTATGATCATGCTGACATTCGACAGGCAGCTGTCCTATGCAACATGCCTGCACACAAACACGGTCACCTCTTTTATGGCGGATCAAGTGTCAGTGATGGGTCTCTTTTATGTGGAGGTTTCTCCTAAGCCCCTGCTGAACTCCCATAAGCCTCTGTCTCAGTCTATCTCGTATCTCTTTTCACTTGACCGTACGGACCCTGAACGATGACATCACACTACGGTGGTCTTGGAGATGCAAAGGTGAGGTACATGTGTAAACTGACGGATGACATCATGCATTGTAATTTTTCTGGGCTGTCAAAGTTAATGTGAAAATTTATGAGATGAATTCAATTTTTTTTTTTTAAATGTAATGCATTTACCAAATAATTCTACTTTATTTTTTTATAAATATACTAATATTACCACTGTTGCCCACTGTAAAGGTAAAAAAGATACACTACCATTCAAAGGTTGGGGCAATTTTTTTTCTTTTTAGAGTTGTATTCAGCAAGGATGCGTTAAATTGATCAAAAGTGACTGTAAAGAATTTTATAATGTTACAAAAGATTTTTAAAACGATGCTGCTCTTTTGAACTTTCTATTCACAGAATCAAAGAATCCTGAAAAATTCAAAAATATTGAGCGGCACAAACGAAAATTCCGTTTTGTCATCACATGAATAAATTACATTTTAAAATTACATATTAGGTTTTATGTATAATAATTATATATTAAAATAGAAAAGTTACAATATTACAGTTTTTACTGTATGGTAATAATATTTGATATTATTGATATCAAATAATATTTGATATTATTTTTGATCAAATAAATGCAGCCTTAGTGAGCATGAGAGAATTTTTTTTGCATTTGAAAATCTTACCAACCCCAAAATGAAACGGTTGATATAAAAGTAAAAATTTATCAGATAATATTTCAGTAATTTTCATTGGATTCAGTATAATGAGAATGAATTTAGGAAAAAACATGTTTTTATAATATCAAGTTTGATGGGTTTCCCTTTTCGCTTTTATGAGACAAGTTTTCATTGATATATTGTAAATGGTCTCTTGTATCTTATTGCTTATGTAATAATAGTGTAAATTATTACTGCTTTGCCCAAATTTTACAAGTCCACACACCTAACATCTTTACTAATGTGATCATATCCTTTCTTTAAAGCCTTTTGCAAAAGGTACACAAAATACACAATCTATAAAGTTGGAGGTATACCTTTAGGAGGACAGACTATAAAGTCTCTGTTTGAAGTGATCACGCAAATGTATAGTAATGCTACTGATATTCAACACCCTCTTTGCTCATTCTGGATCGTCCTTTTTGCCCTAGGGTCAAAAAGATTTGGCATATGAAAGGCCAGGTGTATGTGTGTGTGTTTTGATATTTGCTGAACATTTCAAACAGGTGCACTTTGTAGTCTGATACAGCACGTCTGAGGTGCACACGTGTGTAAATACCCTTCGTCTGAGACTGTGTGTGTTTGGGTGCGAAGAGGCTGTGCACTTTGAAGTCCGATCTAGTGTTCTGGAAAGTGGCAAGTTGGAACCAGGTACAAAGAAAGAAATAGACGAGGAAGGTCAAAACTATGAAGGTAGAATGACGTCAAAAAGATTTGCATGTGCGGGGGGTAAGAGTTGTGGAAGTGTACATAAGACCGTAAGCGTAAATTAAATTTGCATGCGCAAGAGAAGCTTTGTAAAGGTGTAAATCGTGTTTCAAG